GGAGGAATCCCTGCCTTGAAAAGGGAGCAAACAAGTCCTTTGCGGGCAGGAGGTGGTGAGCGCTGCCTCCCCAAGGAAGCTGAGCGCCTTTTCCTTTGCAAGCGCGCGACACAACTGGCCCGGGAAGGCTCAAGCTCTGCCGCCTGTCCAGCCAGTTACCAAGATTTAGGCCCGAAAAGGCGGGTCCCCGCAAGCGAGGATGAGCCCCGTCGTGTTAAGTAAGGGCGAGAACTGGGCTCGCCCTGCGCAGCTCCTGAAGACAGTTTGCGAGCCAAGCCTTTCCTTAGAGGATCTCCTGCAAGAGCCGCTCGGCTCGGGATCTGCTTAGGTGGCTGGATCCAGGATGAACGGGAGGCTGGGGTGGGCACGGAGGCGCGGGCGGCCCGGACGGTTGCAGCCCGACTTGCGGCTTGCCTCGCCCAGAGACGGCCCAGACTGGCTTCCCCTCCCGCCTCGGAGGTGCCCCGCTCACCATCTGCTGGTGGGCATCTCCGGCGATCAGGTCGGTGAGCTTGACCGCCCCGCTGACGGCGAAAAAAAGGCCCAACACCACGCGGAGGGCGGAGAAGAGCAGCGCCATCGTTACCTTCGCTCTTTCTCCCGCCTTTCCCTCCCGTTGGCCGCCAGCCGGAGGAGGTGGAACCGGGGGGGGGGGGCGGAGAAAGGAGGCTGAGAAAGCCGCCCCGGACGAAGCAAGCAGGCGCCTCCCGCTTGCCTTTGGGCAGCTAACCACCTGTGCTTAAATGCGCTCGGCCCGCCCGATGCTGAGCTAGTAACAGTAACAGAGTTGGAAGGTGCCCTGGAGGTCATCTAGTCCAACCCCCTGCTCACGCAGGAGACTAGCACTAGGGACTCGAATCGCCGAAATTTCTGATCGACAAGCTCAGTGTCTTGGCCACTGAGCCACCTAGTCAGACTTCGCTTGCTTAAGCTAAAAGGGGCAACCCTGGGCGACTTAATGGGACAGAAGAAAGGACTCCCGGGCCCCGCGCATGTGCAGAGAGCTGCAGGATGACGGCCAGGCTCCGAAAAGAGATCGGAGCTGTTGCGATTTGCCCGCTTCGGTTGCTGCGGTCTTGGGCAGGTGGGAATCGCGTGTGAAGGGAAGCCAGGGAACGGAGTTTTCAACGGAGCATCTTCATGATTGTCTGCGTTATATGAAGCGTTCTCTAGGAGGGTCCATACCCAGTGGTGTATTAACCCTTAAGCAGACTAAGCACGTACTTAGGGCACCAGACCCAAAGGGGGCACCACAAAGTGGAGGGGGGAAAAAACTGACAATTTGTAGTGTGTACAACCGAGGGGGGGGGGGCACCAAGATTTGTCAGTGCTTAGGGCACCAGTAAGCCTTAATCTGCCACTTGTCTTATTTTCTTCAAATTTAAATGGGTATTTATAAAAATCACTATCCCCTCTCCCACCAGTATGGCAAGAAGCAGGTTTAAACTATGCTATCAGGGCCCCAGGGATGGGACAAGTCTGATCTGTGGTTGGATGTTGGGGGAGGGGGGGGAGTTCATGCTGAAGAATTAAATTTGCAGGTATAGAGGATCCCTGGCTGGAAAAGCTAATGGAAAAAGGAAGTCGACAGGAGGTTCCTAGAAGTGACCCCAAAAAATGTTTGCTTAACGTTCCAGGGATAGAAGATGGAGAACAAGGTTGCCTTTAATTAGGTCAAAGGTGGAAAAACCTCTTTAAGATTCGGTTTGGTGTTACATTGGGGTGGTTTGGTTGTTTTCTTTGGTAGATCTTTACTGGGGCTTTTAATTGCAAAGCACCCAGTGATCAATTACAATAAATAAATCTCTTCGGGAACGTCAGAAAACCAACACACCCATTTAAGAGGTGAAGAAAAAGCAAAATACATAGAATGCCATGAAACTCAAGGTTAAGAGTGGTGTGAAGAGAAAAACAGGAGGGGGGGAAGGGAAATTATAACAGTAGTTCCATCAGACATGAAGAAAATGAAGCATGTTTCTTCATTATCTGTCAGCCTCTCTGAACTTGTTTTCTTGCAAACATTTCATTATTCAGCTGGCACTGATGATGCCAGCTGGGTAGGTAATGAAATGTCTACAAGAAAACCACCAAGCTCAAGAGAGCTCCAACTCCACTGTTCAACGGAGTTACAAATTTCTATTGGAAAAGAACTTCTAGAGGAATAGGGGGGCTAGGGGTCTTCAAATTGAGAAAACTCAGCAGGCAGATATTATGCAGAGGGGAAATTATGTTGCATAAAACTTCAGCAGTCATACCCATTAAACAAATTGTAATTACCAAAAGCAATTAAAAGCCACATTTAAACACTGTAGAAAAGAAAAATGGAAGCAAAGCAAGAACATTTCTTTCGTGCAGTTTTTGTTCCTATGCAGGAAATGAAAAGGAGTGTATGAAACGTGAAGCAAGGATGATTTGCAAAGATGGAGAGGCATAAGGAACAGTAAATAATGCAAATTAAATACTGCTTTCTTAGCTGCAGCTTGCTTGTATCTTTTTAACCCTTTTTCTCCCCACTGCTTAACATTGTTTTCATGAAATAATCAGATATATATGTGGGGTCTTCAAAGTTGCCTACTTGAGAAATAAAACTTCTCAAGAAAACCACCAAACTTAGAGATCAACAAAGTGCCCACAGTTCAACCTCAAGCCAAATATTATCTTCTATAGCTACGTGTGTCTTGTAGAGACCATCAGGCAGTTCATTTGGCTTTGGGTTACAAAGCATGTTTTTAACAACTTCAGATTTGCTTCAAAGTGGAATTTTGCAGGCTTAAACCACTCAGTCTGTGCTCCATCTCTTCCCAAACATCTTCACCATCTTTCTCAGTGGGAAGGTAAACATGGAGCTCCAGCTTTGGCCTCATCTGGGGTAGCAAGGGTAGGTCTCTCTGCCACAGTAGCCTATAGTTCAACCCAGTGACAAGGAAATCGTGTGCTGTGGGGTGAGCCAATTCTCTATGGCCGTGCTGTAGGACATCACAGCTGGCTTTACGAGGAGTTGGCTTTGGAGTAAGGCGGATGGGTTTAGAAAAATGAAAGTAGGTACACTTTTTCTTCAAGCTGTTGTCCAGGTTCATGTTGGAAGGGCAATTCCAGTCTCTTCTTGTTTGAACTCCTGCCCCAGGAATCTTGAGAGAAGGTAGTTTATTCTTATCCTGGTCCTTGGAATTCAGGTACCTGTTCTATTTTGAAAATGTATTAAAAATAAAACTATGAGGACCCTTAGAAGGCCTGCTAATATCTCTGGTGTAGTAATTCAGTGCATAGCTATAGATCATTGATAAAGTCAATTAAAAAGTATGGAATTAAAAAAAAGCTAAGCCTCATGTTTACTGTCTCCCTCCAACATTTTCCTGAAGAGAAACGTGCTAACATTGATTAGCAAATCCAAATAACTGTTAATTTAACATTTAATGAAAACAAGATGAAAAGTTTGACACTAGCACCACTTTAAAAAGGCAGTCCCAAAACCCAGTTGGCATACTTAAGAGATTTGCAAAGTGTGTGTAACTAGGGCATAAATGTAAGCTGTAGCTGGAAAGATTATTCAGAAGCTAAAGGTTACATGATTAAATTGATGAGTAATTTAAACGGGGCAGTTGATGTATCTTTGCCCATCAACACAGCCCAGGTTGAGAAATGGGTATGGATTGTTAAGAGTAGAATCATGGAATTTTGAAAGCTTGTCTGTGATTTTCTCTGCATTATCTGCTACAAACTAAAATCAAGATGACATTACAGATGGTGCTCGATTTACAATTGGGACCAGAATTTCCTGTGCTAATAAGCAAGGTAGTTTTACTTTTTGCACTATGCTTATTCAACAAATAAGGGCATCAAGTTAGTCATGCAGTTAAGTGAATCTGGCTTTTTCCATTGACTGTCAGAAATGTCACAAATGGCCATCATTTGACCCCAGGACTTGTCCTACAGCCACGTTGGGTTTGCCAAGTGCCCAAATTTTGATTACATGTCCATGAGGAGGCTTTGACATCCCCAAATGTAAGGACTAGTATTTTTTTCTTCCAGTGCTATTGTAATTTAAGTTGCTAAAGGAACAATTGAGGACTACCCATATTCTGATTTTCTTTACTTTCCTTACTCAGGATTTGAGTACTCTTTTCTGAAAGTTCCCATCCAAATTCACTCAGTTCCTAAAACCATGTTTCCCATTACAATATGAAACCGTGGGAATATCCTTGGGAGACAAATACCTAATTTTTCAAAGTGTTGATTGCCAAATAAAGTACACTTTAAAAAAAGAATGGAAATGCTAGCAATCAGGTGAATTATTCTTTAGTATCAAGTGGTAGTCACAATGCTGAAAATCTGGAAAGTGAGTTGTTATAGGATGAAAAGCATTGCAAATTTTGACTTTTTGTCCTTGGCTGATTTTCTGCCAAATATTAGCATTCTATTCTTAATATATGAGAGTTGTTTTCAACAGCTGCTAGACTGCACTATACCACCTCCATTGCATATTAGAATTCAGTGATCTGGATAACTTTCCTATATTGGATTTACAAGAGTTAAGTAAGTTTCTAGAATTTTAAGAAATGATAAAGTGGAAGGAGGGGGAGAGAAATGTTCTAGGACAATATTTGAAGGAGCATTAAAAATATAAAGTTGATCAAATTTAAAATAGGTGTCTCAATAAACTTAACTGGACTTTTGTGAACCAAGATGGAATAAGGCTTTAAAGATTGTGTTGTGGATAAAAACATTTAAGTGGTGACAAATTACTCAAACTGTTTGAACTTGCAGTAAGTTTCTTTGTAACATTTTTTTTGCTTTACTGTTTTTTGTTGTTCTCATTTCCTGTATTTTCTTTTATATTAGTTACCTTGTAATGTACCTTCTAAACTATAAAACAGCCAGCATTTTGCAAACCAGGATGTAATTTCTCCAGGCTTTGCCTGCCACTTGTAGAACTTATTCACCTATTGTAAAAAGACTAAGGATACCAACAAAAGCAAACTTACCTGAGGAAATCTACTGTGCTTTTCCAATAAATCTGAAAAGCATGGCTGGTAATAATGTGAGAAGCATGCAGGTAGATTTGGATTAATGGAGGTTCTCCTAGTGCCCCCCAAAGCCAGACGAGTACCATACTCCGTCTTCATTGCAATTGGATGAAGAGCAATACTGTTTGCCCCCTTTTGTGAATTTCTCCAGCTGCCTCCTCTTAGCTTTCAACATCTAAGCCTACACATAAAAAATTCAAGCTTGACCTGCATGCAATATTTATCAGTAACTGAATAGGGGGTTAACCTTGTTGTCCGGCTTTGTCAACAAGCATACACCTACTTAATTTCTTCATCCCTTTTTATTTATTTATTTCAAGGTAGCGAACATACCCAACACTCCTATTTTCCCCAATAACACCGAGATGGGTTAAGCTGAATGACTGGCTTGTCTGAAGTCACCCAACCAGCTTTATCAGCACTAGAACTCCCGCTCTCCTGGTTTCTAGTCTTGTGCCACAACCCCTAAACCAAATTACAAAGAAATATTATGTGAAGTTTGGAAGAAACTGGCAGCAGGAAGGTTTCAAGGCAAGGAATCAAACTTATTCACCATCAAGACAAGAATGAGCCAGTTGGTCTATCCCTGATCCAAGTAAAGAAATTTCATGGTATTTTTTTTTTAAAGGAAAGACTTGTGAAATTGAATCCTGGTCATTTGGCAGAGAAACTAAGCTTTCTTTTCCTAATTAATCAAGCCAGAGATTTCTGACTGCATCAAGCATGTATCTTAACAGTTTTCAAACAAAGCTGTATGAATGTAAACTAGTAATTGAATTCAGGATGTTTTGAAACCTTCCAGCAAATTTGGATCCAATCTGGTTCACTACCCAAATCAGTGCAACTCAAATGGTCTATTTCTATATTGCTGTTCTACCACCAAAGAAGCTATTTGAAATTGGTTCTAGTCCTCAAATGAGATGAATTACAGAATATTGAAAAAGGACACAGCTGAATGCTAGAAACAGGAAGGAAGAGATTTCAAAAGTGAACTTGAGGGTTACAAAATACTGCAAAACTACAAAAGCCACTAGGGACTGAACACTAGAAAAAAATAAATGCAGCTTTTCAGCGTGATTCCAGAATAACCTACTAGAGTATAACTTAGAAAGGAACAGTTTTTAGGAAATGAAGTTGGACGTATTGAGCGCATCAGGCTGCTTCCACCTTCCTTCTGATATTTCAAATGAGCACCAATTGTAAATTGAGCTCTTCCAAGAATCAACACCAATTATTGTGTTTCTGAATAGTTTATTGAAGATTTCAAGAAAGTGCTGCTGTATTCTTGGACTCCTTTTTTCAATCAAATGTATCCTTCTCCTGTAGAGAAAAAAAATAGGATTATTTCACTGACAAGCAAGAAATCAAGATTTTTATGGCTGAATTATACTATTGCTGTATCTTGCATCTTTATTTTTATTTCCATTTCATTTTTTGCCAACTCAATACATACATACATACATACATACATACATACCCTTATTTTCCACAAACTATCAGGTGTGGTAGATTGAAAGTGATTGACCTGAAGTCACTCAATCAGCTTTCATGCTAAAAAAATGTTTCTAGGCTAGTACATCAAATTGGCTCTCCAGGATATCTATGTATCATTTAAATTGGGTTTAGCATATTAAATGCAAATTAAGATTTGACAGAGTTACATGCAGCTTCAATACTCTTAACCATTGGAAAACCTGCTAATGTTCCCCCCAAAAAACTTAAGATAAAAACCAAGATCAGACTAAACCTGGATTTGTTTGGTCATAACTCTGGTGTGGTTAATTGTGAACCAAGCAAAAAAAAGACTGGCCACCTGTCACAATTTTATATGAATAACCTTATCCATTTTTTTTCTTCTAGCAGAACAACATAAGAGAGGCTCCTTAGTACACCTACTGAAAACTGCTCTGATATGCCTGCCATTAAGATGTTTTAACTGATATTAAGGGGGAGGGGGAACCCCTGCAACAAGTGATTCATTTCATGGGAAGCTTGGCTAGAGAATGAGAGAACTGAAAGAGAAGTTGTGATGCCAGAGCCTATCCCCTGCACCAATGCTTGACAGATAGCAATTCAGTTTCTGCTTTATTCTATTTCACTGCATCCACAAAAAAAGATCCTCATCACCCCTAGTTCTATCAACAATCTGTTTCTACTTTTAAACTGCTACCTAGAGCCATTTGGTGAGATGGGTGGCCATACAAATTGAATGAATAAACCCTTCAAATGCTCTACAAGAACCTAGCACCCTGTTTCCTTACCTACGTATTGCAGACTTCTCCTTTCTACAACATTCAGTTGTGTGGGCATATACTGGTTATTGGTCAACTGCAAAATAAAATTATTTTCATTGCAACATGGAGTATGTCAAAAGTTATTTTGAATTTAATATAATCCAAGGTTTAATACGTTTGGAGAGGAAAAGTGTTTTCTTCTCTGGTGACAGCAATCTATCAGGGCAACCTGGTGTACCCAAATATGGAACGGAGCACACTGCTTTTGCCTTTCAGCTCCAATCCAGGAGCCTTCATAGACTATTTTTGTGTTTTGACAAAAAATATAAATTTAGAGGAAAAATTTAAAAATGTAGCATAGCATAAGCCAACAATATTTTTTTACTTAAAATGGAAAACTAGAAATGACTGGGAGAAGAGGAAAAGTAAAGAATATATATAAGCTTCAAGCATGTTTTCCTGGTCATTTTTCTCTGTAGCAACCTTTGACCTTATGTATTAATATATTTCCCATGACCTTATTTTCATGTGGCAAATAAGTCACTAGCCTTACTTTTATTTTACTTGGGAGGGCTTATAACCCTTAATTCAATGAAGTGAAAGCCTTACCTTATATGGGAGTGTTCTAATTTCATCCAGCTGATATTATCTTCACCTAAAGGATAAGAATTAAAGTTAGTAGGGGAAAATAGACTGAAATATTTCTGAAAACAAAATTAAGTTTAAATATTAAGTGCAACTTGTGAACTTGTAAAATTGAGGGGAATTTTACAAAAGCTACTAATAGTAATTGGGTAGCAAGGGGCACAAGAAGGAAATGAATATTTTATTCCAAAGACTGAAACATAGGATAGTGAGCAATTGCAACTACTCTTAAGACTTAACCCTGAACTGCCCCTTGGAACAGATGCTGCCTAATTAGAAGGACAGTTGCAGCCAGAGGTACACTGCCCCTTAGGTGCAAGTGCAAAGCCATTGCATTCAGCTATTTAACTGCATCTCTGAATTGCTGCCATGCACCCCCTTACCACCCCATAAAGCAAATAATCTTTTCCGGTAATTGAAGGACAAGCCAAAGCTTTCTGAATCTTTACAAGACAGAGAAGAATTTGCTTGTAGACTACTACAGATTTCCCGCCCTGTGGCTGTCCCTAGCCATTTTCAAATGTTCTTATTAAGGGCATAAAGTGAAAGGTCAACCTTTCCACCTGCAACTAATTCTTAATGGCCCTTGTAATGTCAGAAACACTGCCAAGCCAGCCAATGTGCCAGTTTCAAAACCACATCTTGATTTATTACTTTTGCAAAACAAAAGGTTATATTAGGAATACAAATAATATTTCTTCTCTCTAGCTATTTGTCTGCAGCCATCCCTTCCCACATTTCATTGTGCCAATATTCAATGTCAAAGTTTTCTGAGGGGGGGGGGGATTGGTAATACACCACCATTGGGCTTCCACAAACAGTTGCTAATGGAACAAACAAAATGGGAGATGCCTCCCTCTTCTCCTCCCCCTCCCCCAGGCCCCCCTCTCTTGCAGCATTTGCTTAAGCCCAGCAAGTAGCATAAAGACAGATCTGCAACTGACCTGTTGATTCCAACCTTGCTAGCTGTGATGGTGGAAAACAACCAATGGTCCAAACAAACCTAAAAAAGCACAATCTCTTCACGTTGGGCTCCAATTTTAGAAGTTATCACAGGCCTTCCTGATCAGCCGCTTGAAGTTACTTGCAGTTTCAGCCCCCTGGCTGCTTAGGTGTTTCCTAGTCTTGGGGGCAGAGCTTCAGCCAATAGAAGCTTTTCCATACTGTAACAAAGCCTCCCCCCCCCCCAAATAATGTTAGGAAAGTGCTTCTGCCCTCACACAGCACTAGTAACCGGAACTGAGAACCTAGCAGAGTACGCATAATGTATTCTGGCATCACACTTCTGAGCTCTGAAGTCAGTTTTGCAAAGGGGAAATCAAAGACCAGAACAAAAAAGCTTAACATGGAATACAATGCACGCACTTTTTGTTATTTCTCATGCCACTTACATACTTAACATATGTTTTGATCAGTTACTGCCCTTAAAGACTTAATGTATTTTTCTTTACAACTGCAGTTAATCATATACATAAGAAACTGGAGTCCAATTCACCTGTTTACTAAAAATTCACTTATGTCAAGAGATAATCCCCACACTTCAATTAATCCATTGGCATATTGGTTGAAACTGAAGAGTTACTATGGTTGAATATATCTGCAGCCCAATTATACAGCAAACATACTTATTTACTGAGTTCGTTATACCACTACTTGGAATATCCAACTTAGAATATAACGAGTCCCACAGTGAACATGCTGTTCATAGGATTTAAAGTACACCTTCTCTCAGTATGTCTACTGTTCATACTGACAAGGGACTTTAAAAAAACACTCTTCTCTTGCAAACCACCCAGGTACAAAAGACTAGGAACTCCAATCCATTACTTGGCTGTTAAAAGATTCACTGCTGAATCCTGTTCACGAAGCAGTCTTTTTTCTTCAAGCATATTGAAACATGAAATTTGACAGAACTGCACTTCAGTTTTAAGTTGAGCATTGCTGTATCTAATGAATTGATCAAGAGCCAAATGTTATGAATTGCTTTCAAGACACATAAGATAGACTGAGCTAGCACAACAAAGCCAATAGTTCTGGAGAGCAACTTACATTAGATATATAAAATCCTATTTTTTATTCATCCACTATATTAGATATAAAACCCTATTTTTTCCCATCAAGTAGTAAGCAAAGTAACCTATACTTTTTAGTAAGATGCATGGATTAGAGTAAGGGGAGCTCTCAATTATTATTTTTTTACGTTATTACAGTCATCCTCCCACAGCCGGCCACCCATATTATATTAACTTGACACTATAGTTACAAAATACTACTTCAATACTACCTCAAACTTAACAGTCACTACTATTAAAAAGGGAAAAATATCAATGCATTTATCTGCCTGACCATGAAGAGTTTTCATACAACTTTTAATATATAGCTAGTATGAACTAAAAGCAATCATTCTTATACACAATGAAGGAGACCATGAGCAGTAAAATTATGCATAGATTGAACTCACTTTCCCCTCCCATCAAACTCTCTAAAAATGTCTTTGTCACAGTGAAGAAAGAAACAAGTCATATGCACGAAGAAATCACGGGTCTGAGGCACAAGTGTCAGCATCATTAGTCAGCTTGCCTAATGCTGATTGCAAGTTAAGCCTCAAAACTAAGCACCATACAGTATGAGAAGTGCTGCACTGAAATCCCACTGTCAGTAGTGTGATGCCAGAATACCCCCATAGCAAGATTACACAGAAAGTCACCAAGTTAGATTATAGTTCTTTTTACCTACCTGTATGCAGGCGACAATGAGAATCTTGGAGTAAGCAGGAATACTACATCCAGGTGCTAATGTCCATTGCCACTTGTGGTACTACGTTCCTCACAGTTATGCACTGCGGAAATGCTGTCTAAGTGCAGTTACATAGCAGGCCACTACTTTTAATCAGTGTCATATTGCAGTCTCAAACTCCAGAGAAAAGCATGCTGCCACAAGTGGTTGCCAAGGAGATGCCAAGAACTTTTTAAAAACAAATATACCACAAAATACGCACAGAAACAGAAATTCATTTATTACAACTAATAAGGATGTGGTTATAGCATGCTATGATTGTTAAACATGGGTAGACCCTTGAATTGGGGTAACTTATGCATGACCTAAAAGCTTAATGGCATGCAGAAGTAGAATAGTTATGCTTCTGCTCAAAAGGCATCATCTCTTAAGTCTAAATATTTAAATCCATTTAGGAAAAGCTAAAAAGATGAAACATTCAATTCAATGAAAACTCCCCAACAATTGGTTTGCTACTGAGGGATCAGCCTGTTTGTTATCCTTTGATGTCAAGACTACTGTGCGTATTTTATATAAGGACGTTTGGCAACAGTAGTCCAATAAAGTGTTAAAAATCTACATCGGCCCCTCAACATTTCCTTCCCATTTTAATATCAGCCTAGCTTAGACAAAATGTAAACAAGAGATGAACCTTAGGAAGGAAATGGGACCATCAGCTTCCTTCACTCTTCCAAGATTACAGTACTACAAAAGAACATGGTTTAGGATATGTGCCAGCATCCTAAGGAAAAATGGCATGTAATCTGAAAAATAAACTGAAAATTAGTTTCCATTCCATTTCCCCACCACTGTCAGTCTTGGTGTTTCCTACAGTGGGTGTCCATGAACACCTCCTTGAGAAAAGAAGAACTGAGCTGTACGCAGCCCAGGATACAGTTAACGTCCACATTTGTATCCCAAGGGTTTCTCTACATCTGAAGTCAATGCAAGAGAACTGCGGGTGTTCTTTCCCCTTGGATGGTAACTTCTTGAAGCTTCTGAGAATATAGCTCAATTCAACCACAACACTAAATGAGAGGCAGTCCAGCAACCTTGAATGTCAGCTGTTTATCATTTCTTGGGTTTTCAAAAAGCTTGCACAGCACAAGCTTTTGAGTCAATCCATTTTGCAGAATGAAAATACGTAATAACTGATGGCAGTGAAGTTTCATACGCTGCAGTTATAAGCGGCTTACAGGTAACTGATTCTTCCTCAGCTTTAGGACATTTAAAGTAGGGATGGGGGATCACATATGGCATTCTGGTTATCCCAAGCTACTGGAGGTAGTAGCACAGAGAAAGTGTCAACAGTTGAAAGGAAAAAAACCAGCCAAAACAGGTTGCCTGCAAGTAATCAGTACTGACTTGCCAAAGGTTTTATGCCCCCCTCTCAACAATCTTCTGGGGGGAAAAGGTAGAGTAAATGCAACATTACCCAGAGTAACTGTTTGAAAGAGATATAAAATGGCTTCCCATGAGGGCAGAAAAAATTCCCCACCCTTATTTAAAAAGATTTAAAGCACCCCAAGTTATTGAATAAAAAAACCCAACTTAATCACAGAACGTTCTCTGATCTGGTTCATCTTCATTTTATCAAGCCATTGTACCTTTTCCATACCAGGAAACTGTCCACCCAATATTTTAGGTACGAGGGGTATAGACAGCTTAACGTCTTACAGCATTTTAATAAATATAAAATGATTCAACCCTACCAAGTCAACAGCACAAGTTGATACTATGTTGTCCAAGAAAAAAGATCTTTCAATTTTTAATGATGCTTAGATTTCTGTATGTCAGGCTTTAATCTAACAGATTTACTATTTTAATCCTGAAACTTCAAAGGATATTTCATTTCTGCATTTAAGTGAAATTTTGATATTAAATATAATACACAAATGTCCCCCAATGCTCAAACCTTTTGGATCAAGATTATGCTGGTGAAAATCAAGGGAAAAAATGATTCCTTTCAATATTTGGATTGCAATTTCAATAGATATATTCAATCATCAAGGATTCTGTTAAGAAAATGTCCAGTGGGCACTTAAAAGGCTTAACTAGGAAAAAGAATTAGAAGTGAAATAGATCAACTAGATCTCATATTTTGAGTCTTATTAAAAGAATGAGATGCTAAATAACATAAAGTCATGCTATGATTTATAACAGCTGGCATGGAAGCGCCCTTTGGAGACAACAGCCAGTACTATTGGATTATGTGCCCTTACCCATTTCCTTCCCTTCCCACCTCCTTGTTCAAAACTGAACTACATCATTTATTAAATTAAAGATCTATTTCACCAAAACCCAGTTTGCGCCCTCATTGTAAGGAAGTTAAAATTTCAAATATGTAGTCTTAAATAATTATAGTCAAAGTTTTGCAGAATTGTCAGCTTTTTCTAAGGGTAAGACTTCATTGTGATATTAAATATTGAAGTTCAAGTAGATTTTAAAATTGCACAGGTATTTTAGACTTGATGGCCTGGAATCATCCCAGCCACATATATTGTGCAACACTCCAGATTTCAAGAAATGCATTGCCTTTTGAAAGTGTTTGCCCTCTATGCTCAGAAATGTATGATAAAAGAATCTTGCTACGTATAGACTATTTATTTTAAGCACAGTAAAAAAAGTTTACACTTGGGATTTCATATGGCACACGGTACATTGCCATCAAGGTAGGGACGTTATACATCAAAAAAGCTAAGTTTTGAACACTGCATTACATAATTAGACTTGTTTTTGCCCAGACCACTTACAAATTCTAAGTCATTTTAAGTTTCTAACATCCATAAAAACGTAGCTTTCTTACTAAAATGCAAGAATCAAAAAAAAAAGTAGTGTCTAAACAAGACAAATAAAACAAACTGGAATGAAAAATCTACAAGTCACATCTAAAATCGGGGTTTTTTGTTTGGGCCTTCATATTCTTCTCTCCCTCTCCCATAAGCTGCAGGAGTTCCAGGCCCCATTCCTCTAGGGCCCTGGCCACCTACAGGCCCCGCACCTCCCTGTCCAAATCGCTCAGGGCGCTATGAGAACAATTAAGAGTTCATTATGTGTAGTTGATGTCCATGTGTGTTTAGAATTTATATTAGAAGGTTCCGCAGTCAACGTTCGTCGATACAATCACCATTGAGTCGATCCACAGGTACCGGGAACATAGAAAGGAAAAAAGGGTAATTTAATCATTAGTTTAACTTAATACATGTCTTGTGGTATGTTCCCAACTTGATCCATTCTGAAATGTCTGTTTCAGCAAACAGATATTCCCTGAAGTGCTAAAAATTCAAGCATTAGTATGGGTTTGAACCAAGAATTCTCTTTGAAAGAAATTCTGGTTATTTGCTACAATTGCTAATCTACACCGTCAGTGAACAAGGTACAAAGAAGCCCAGCAGCTTCCTAAAGCATCAGCCATCTTATATAAAAAGCAGATGCCTATTTAAGGTATAAGACCACATTCTTGAAGTTACTTGAACCATGTCTATTTATTTAAATGGTTTTCAAAAGCCACTGACCGAAAGTGCAAGAAATAGTATACACCTGGTTAAATTGCCAAGACAAGACAACCACTAAATGTTTGCACAGTTAAGCTTCTTTAAATAGTTCCACTGCGGTAGAGGTCCTATGATTTCAGAGTAAAGATTAGCAAAGAGTCCATTATTATTTTGCAGTATCTGAATACATTCCAGCTGGTCTCCCCTGAATCCACTAAAGCTCAACTAAGCTAAAATAAAGCAGACCAGTTCACTTTTCAATTTACCTGATCTTTCTTCATTTCTTGATTTACCAGGCACAAGGGAGGGTGTAATGAATCAAAGATGTTGATGTTGGTATTATTGGTGCTTTCAGGGCAGCATAGGAACTATTTTACCCCCAAAAAAGATTTCCAATGCACTCAAGCTTAACAACAGAGCTAATTCACTCAGTATAATTCCTCAGACTAGCTGTATGAATCCTTTAACTAGATACGCATGCAGATGTTCTTTGTGAAAGGCTCACACTCAATTTGCTCCCCAGTAACCCCACAAACAAGTCTAGATTCCAGAATGCTCCTGCCACAATCATCACAGATGAGAAAACATATGCATGAGCCCTTCACTGATTTGCATAAGTATCCAATCATGGAGTCACTGAGAGTCTGGATTTCTAGCATATAAGTAAAACTCCATCAAATTTCCTCTAACAACTGGCTTACAGTTATTAGACTGACAAAGGACGAGTGTCATGAATGAACAAATTCAGTAAAGGAGACAATTTCCTACTAAGTTTCTAAATTTACATACTTTAGAAAGACAGCACAGTGCTTCACTGAAATTTCAGGCTTTTTTTTCTAATGCCACCAATTACAAGTGAATGAGATACTTAAACGTTTGATACACTGCATTGTTAATTTTGAAAACACACATCCAGGTTTTACCAGACAACCTATTTCAACAGAAGTCTGATTAATAGCAGACTCCTTTGAGCTACACGGTCAAAACAGCGACAGGGCATCTTAAGAACTTGGGGTTAAATAAATGGTATTGGTTTCTATGTTAAGTGACACATGAGCTACAAGTAGCTCATCTCATGTAGCAAAACCTTCAGTACTAGAATAGCCTCCACCCCTTCCCCCAACACTATTTTGTGTGTTAGATTAAACTCTTAAGGTGAATGTGTACCAGACAAGAAGGATTAGACTTAGATTTTTCAGTAATTCTATTTACCAGTTGTACTACCATACTACTCCGAGGCTTCATGTAAATGTGAAATCAAGAATTTCTCTGAAGCCTACAAGTACAGGAACAGGAAGTAAAGTTCAAAGTGCTTGGAGAACAAGTGTACTGTCTGCAGATACTATGTCCCTGAATATTGGTGACAACAGGGGAGGAAGCTACTGCTTTCACAGACATCCCCCGAAGCATCCGGTTAACCACTTTGGGAATAGGATGGATCTTTAGTTTGATCCAGCAGCTCCGTCTATAGTCAGGAAACTTAAAATAGCATCATAACCAAATCATGTATTATTTAAGAGTCAACAAGCAACTTGCTCAAGAAAGTTTGCTAATGAGTGGCCTACCTCAAGAATTGCTTCTTTTCTCATCACCACATATTGTGTGTCAAAAGCCAATGTGTACAATAAAAGAGGTAATTTAAATATTCTCTCTCTGTGATGAACCCATTACATTAACAAGTAGTAAAAGTATAGTGTAATTATATTTTAGTTATTTTCATCTCTTTATTTTATACACATTTCTATGCACCACACTTAACTCAAGTTCAGAAAGTGACATAAGACCACTTTTGCTCGTTAAGGTAACTCAACAAAAATGTGTGCTCCCCCCTCCCCTTCCAGGCAGATTATTAGATTACAGAACTAAAGGCCCCTTGCAAGTTTAGCCAGACAACTCCCAACCCAACTGATCACAGGAAAGTCTGCTAATATCCATTGCGGAAATATCTGAGCAGACCTGTAACCATACTGGCAAAGTCTAGACTTAGTTTTACATTGCTCAACAAGCTTCTTGCTATTAACAAACTGCTGGAAAAGGGAAGCCTATCTAAAAGTGTAGGTTATAGAATTAATGCAAAAAATAAAAAAAACTCTAGAACTAAAGTCAAGCTGCCACAGGATACGTTACCATATCGCTTCCCATCATAGTGCCACTCATAGATGTTTGTCCAACTCCGGGATTGGTCTCATAACCAAGGCCAGTGCCACCTGCTAATGGTGGGAATTTCTGAGCAGTTGTACCATAGGGATCTATTTAAAAAAATAATCAAATGATTATGCATCAAATAGATCACAATGACTTATGCAGGTGAGTTTAATTGGAAAGCATTTTTACCTCCCATGTTCATTGCACTGGTACCGCCCATTCTCATGTCTCTTTCTCTCTGAAAAGACAAACAGATATTTTTAAGAAGTAAATCCCTTAAAAGCTCTGTAATACACACCTGGGAAACAATGATTTCTAATCCTGTAACAAAAGCCAGCAGGATGACCAGCTCTAAGACAGCAGGTACCAATCCTCCAAGTTCCAGATTTACATCATCAAAATTGGGAAGTCTTTTAAGTAAGTATTAAAATTTATTCCTAGGGATCATCTGGGCAACTAGATTACTGGGATTCTTCCAGCCCTGACTTACAGGATCCATATAACCCATTCGAGTGTAGCTTTCTTCTCTCTGTCTTCTCATTTGTTCTTCCATCTCACGTTGACGGATCATCATCTCTTCTTCCCGCCTACGTCGCTCTTCTTCTTGCCTTTAAATAAATTGCTCTTTTATAATTTGTACTTTTAGAAGACTTGAATAGTGTATCAATTCACTTGACCACAAAAGCATACCTTATTCAAGCAAAGAACATTTCAAAATAGTTACTGTAAATAAGCCTTCATGGATTACAATAAACAAATTTATTGGGAGGAGACAAGGCTGAACTAAACACGGCATTAATCCTCCACTAGCTCCTTCACTTGGTTCTAAACAATTTTTGATTGTCCACAGCTACATACAAAATGTGGAGTTAAATACAGGATTAATAACAACAGATTCAAATTACCTCAATTGAATTTCTTTTCGTTTCTGCATCTCTTGATTGTGAAGTTCTTCCATGCGTCTCAGTTCCTCTTGACGTCTCATGAGATCTGTAAGTATGATCATTTAAACAACCATTGTTTAATAACAGATGAGTTTCTATCAATTAAAGATAATCTAATTTTGATGGGCATCTCTGAAATCATTTATTAAATGCAAAAAGCCTAACAAGCAAATTTGTATACAAACAAGTTTGTCTCCAGATTATTTTACTGAATGATTCATACATACAACACTTAGGAGACAGATTACTATTTAGGCAGTTGATGGAAGACAAATATTTTCAGCTCAACCTTCTTCTGAAACAGCAGTGTAAGACTATAAGAGAAAGAAAACTTGAGAAATCTCAGCCAGAGGTCTGTGCCCTATACCTTGGCGTAAAAGGTTTGCCTGATGCTCATGATAAGCATCCTCCATCTCGCTTTCCAGTTTGTCCTTGGCATCTTTCATATTTTTCTCTACTTGATCTCTCTGCTGTTTCTCCATTTCATCCAAGGATTTCCACCGTTGAGAATATTCATACTCAAAACTTCCAGGTTGCGCAAATCGTGGTGGAGTTTCTCTCTCCCTAAAAATCCAATTGAAAATGAAATGGACATTTATGGTTTTCAAAATAGCTAACAATAATGCTGACAAAACAAACATATTAGTATGTTTTATCATACTACATAAAACACTTTTCATCATCTACAAATTGCTTATGTACTGCCACTCAGAAAATCAAGTACAGAAGAATCTGTAGTTTTAAGACAGTTACAGAGTCTTTGACTTTTTCAGTGAACTTTTGAAAGGCACCATTCCATCAAAATAGTTAATAGGATTAATACAATATGAGCCCTGGCTGGAACTGTCAGGTTTGTGCACCATCTCCTGCTAACAATGCCCTAATTTTCAATTTTTCACCTCAAGTGGACTACTGTGCCTTTTCAATTTGTCATTTTTTAAAGCCTGTAAAACATAAGATTTGACCACAAATTCTGATAGTACTATTGCTTCTCATCAGTCCATATGTTTATTCCAGTTGCCTTTAATTTACGAAGTGTGATATTGTTCTAGATAAACTCAAATTACAATTATTTAAGTAAAGATCCCTTAAGTAGTATGTTAATACACATAACTCTTTAAATGTTATTTGCTTAAAAACCTAGAAGGCATAAGAACACTAAATTTAAATTACTTCAAAATAAAACTGAATGTTTTAGACATATTTAAGCTACATAAATTCATCAAATGAAACAATTCCAATTTACTTAAGTATTTTAGGTGAATCACTCTGGCTGTAAGAAAAAATTGAAATTACTTACTTAATGAAACTGAAAGTAAAATATACATAAAGTATCTTAATTCAAAGTAATATAAACTTTTCCAGAAAATTTCTAATTTACATTATTGAAAACAGGAATGAGTCAAATCATAATATGGAAAGGCATACTCCTCTAGATAAACTGTAAGATTAACAGGGAGCACATATTCTAAATTATGAAATACAGTTTAAGTAACATCTGCTTACTTTTGATACATTGGATTTTTCTGAGCCAGCTTTTCTGGAAGACCATCTTCATCATCCAACTGTTCAAGGGGCTCTACAATAACTGGCCTAGGAGTGCTGAAAATCAGAGACAAAGTATTGAGTTTTGTTTAAATACTGGCCATTAAGCTTAAAGCTTTTATTTAAATTTTCAGCCCAGTCTTCAGTAACTAAACTACATAAAAAAGAGGCCTACTTACGTTGTCAGAAGAAAGACACCTTCAGTACAACGTTCAAATGCCTTTCGCGCTGCAGGCTTAGATGCAAATTCCACAATGCCCTTTCCTGAGGATCTGCCACGATCATCTACTATCACAATAGCTCTTTCAATTGGACCAAACTGAGAGAAAGCATCTTCCAACAATTCATTTGACACATATGGGGAGAGATTACGCACAGAAAGAGCAGCAGCATGGGTGGCAAAACGCACACGAAGCTGCCTTCCTCTCATAGGAATATCATCAAGTTCTGCCTTTGCAATTTCAGCCAAAGCTCTAGATTCCTGTGAATAGGTTAATAAAACTTAATTTAGAAGAATGTTCAACAATGTAAGGATCTTAGTATTAAACGTCTTTTTAAAAAGAACTGGAACATTCATGCTTACCAGTTTAATAAAGCCAAAACCTTTTCCCTTGTTAATAAAGACTTCCCCTGGTTCACCATATTTGGCGAATAATCTCTTAAACTCATCTTCGGTGATATCAGCAGGCAAATTCCCAACAAACAGCCGGCAGCGCTGAGTATATTTTTTCTCTCCAGGGCGTCTCAAAAGTGACAGATTTGCTTTAAAACCCTAACAAAATTAAAGACAAAGTTAATGTTTGTATTTAAAAGGCACTCACATTTTATCTATTTCCCTCTCTTGCACATATAGTATCATGCAAGCACAGACTTTGACTGCACTCACAGCTTACGCCATATCCAAGCCAACACAGTAGATCAGCCTGGAAATAGCCACTTTTGTATGCTATTAACTTTTTCATAGTTACTTTCATTTACATGTCACTATGTGAAGAGAGTACTGAGCATTCTGATAACTTTCCATTTAGATAAGACTTGATGGATCTATCACATACCAATCCACAACCATCACTGTCCCTGCAGTATTTTAAAGAAATGGAGAATGCTCTTAAGCACTGGTTGCAGGTGTATATGATGCACCAGACAATATCTTTACATACAATAACAACTATTTTTTCTATTGCATTTAAATGTAAGCTTCTTTCACAAAATTGTAGAGAACATGATGTCAAAATTGAATAGTTACCCTTTATCCAGCCATGAAAAGAAATGTAATGCCTGCCCTGCACCCTTCACACTTATTCTTAAACCTAAGGCACTATCACTGCATTTTATAAGTACTTCACAGTATGCCTTTTCCAGGTTCCCCATTAAATTTTGTCTAATAAAATCTACACTAGTAAGAAATCACAAATTCAAATATTAATGAAACATTAAATCTGCACCCTATTAAAATACTGATCATAATTATAGCCCAGGACAGTTAGTAATGTGATTCCACAAGATCATAATTATGTGATTTTACATTAACTATATTATATATTTTATACATAGCCTAAGACAATTCTTCATTCAATGCAGCTCAGGCAAGTCAAAATATTGGATATCAGTTATCTGAACTGTCTTCTATAGGCATCACTATTACATTTTCTCCCAAGCTATTCACACAGCACTAAATTTCATTTATTATTTATTTTAATATCTCTATTAAAAGTACACTATTCCAATACAACTCATCACTATCATATTTGTCTATGATACTATGAGGCCCACTTTTTCAGTATTCAAAAATATGAAACTATATATACATAAATCATCATGTCAAAAAGTGCCACATGAAACAGGCAATCTATCATATCATTCATTTGTGTAGGAAACAATTCAAACTAGGAAATGAAAATAAATGTTTCAAAGCATCACAAGTGCCACTGCTAATACTCATACTACCCTGCCATAAAAACAAAATAGCCAACAATGGCCCTGAAGAAAAAACCATCAGGCTTAATTTACTTCACATAAACCATTAATGCAAAGCATATGGCTCCTTGATTTAAGAATAGTGGCATCTGCCAACCATGCTTTATACATATTGCTTTATGTAAACCTATTTATGGTTTAGTTACTAAATCAGGTTACCAGATAAATGGGCAAACCTATGGTACAACTACTTTTTCAGAATGCACATATCAAACCACAATAAAATTAAAGAGCAAGGATTACTTTAATAATACTGTATTATTAATACTGCACTACAATGTTGCTAGCCTTAGATTGAGAGTAACTAGATCACCACTTTTCAGCCAGTGTGCCTAATAGACTTCAAAATGGGATTAAAGGAGGCATGAGCAAATTTGGAAGTTTCTTGCTCATCTCTACTGTGGCACACTACACATTTTTTTTATATAAACATACACCTTTTTCCCCTTTCCCCCCACAACCATCATCCTATGAAGTGAGTTGGGAAAGTGAGAAATGCAGTCATCCAGCCAGCTTTGGTACTTAAGGGAAGCCAAAAGCTCAAACTTCTGCTTTCTAAGTCAGCACCATAATCACAGGAAACCTCTCTATATTATATCAGTATACGTCTGGACACACACAAGAGAACTAGTGTGCTGTAGAGGCTCAGACACCACGCTAGAAACTTGGAAACCATCCTAGTTCTTGCCTTGGACCAGGCATTCAACATCTGCCCTAGGGAATCACTTCCACTATAGTTCCCTGCATATTATTTCGGAAATGATTTAATAGAGTTGGAAGGTACCTTGAAGGTCTTCTATTCCAAACCCCTGCTTAGGCAGGAAACCCTACACCACTTCAAACAAATGGATATCCAACATCTTATTATACTCTGTGTTCACAACTTTAGAAGTCAAGTTGTTCCACTTTGCCATTGCCAACTTCCTAGGTCTGTAACTGGCCCCAAGATCATGGAGAAGGTCCTGTTCCCTGCAGTGAAGGCGGACACGTACGAACACACGATGTGTGTGTGATCTGCGTGATCAAGGATACGGCCATTAATCACTTCAATGCACTTTAATCAGGCGCAGGGCTACGGATTGAGCCAGAGGCATTACGGATTTATGCACCTTTACCATCACCGGCTCGCTCAAATGTTTCAACGTGTACAAGCTGTTACAGGGAAAGGTGGATACGGGACCCTGGTGGACATGTGATTAATGACCCGCCACTCAGCGGCAACTCCACTAGTGCGGACCATCTATTAGCGATTTATCGCTCTTGGGGGGAAAGGGGGGGGTTACCCCTCTTAATTTCTATCCCATAGCAAAAATCGGGACTTGCACATAGCAAGCCGACTCTGTTCCGGGAAGCTCGCAGCTCTTTACGAAGGAAACCGTTTCCCCCCCCTTGAAAACCAGAGCACCTCGGTCGCCGCCGCCACGCCCCATTGCAGAGCGCAGCCGGGGAGGCGCCTCCAGCCCTCGCGCACGCGCATTCCGGCGCCGAAAAATGGCGGCCGAGAGCGCCGTGTGGGGGGGGGGAGGCGCGCGGTCAGAGTGGACAATCCGGCGCCATCTTGTGCTAAGGAAGAGCCGGGAGGGGCCGCCAGCGGTTCCGCTTACCTCAGTGTCGGAAATCTTCTCGTCCCCGGCGCCCTGCTGCTGCGACGGAGGCGGGTGCTGGTGCTGAGACGAGTGCTGGTGCTGGCTCTGCCCTCCGCGCCTTTCGCCGCCGCGGTGTTGCTGCCCAGGCCCGCCGCCACTCTTGGGGCCGCCTCCTGGCTGGGGCCCTCCGGGGCCTCCTTTCAGGCCACCGATGGGTCCTCCCCCTCCTCCGGGAGACGGGCCAGGTCCTTTCTTGGAGCCGCCCTGCCCAGAGCTTTGGTTCGGCGGCGCGTTACTCTGCTGCTGCGGCGGTTGCGTTTCCCCGCCTCGCCCGCCGCTCTGGAGCCCTGAGGGAGCGGCGGGCGCGGAGACCGAACTCGGTGTGGCGATGGAAGAGGCGGAGGATGAGGTGGCGGGCGGCGCGCCGATCTGGTTCTGGTTCGGCCCCAAGGAAGGCGACGAGGCTGCCGGGCTGGAGGAAACAGAGGCCGCGGAGGAAGGTGGGGTGGAGGTCGAGCTCGGCGGCTTAGGAGGCTCCGGCTTCGCAGGGCCGCTGCCGCCGATATGGTGGTGGCCGCCGCGCGATTGCCCCATGCCGCCCCCGATGGCTGGCGGCGGCGAACGGAAGTCATGGTTGCCCGGGAGGCCGCCCCGGCCTCCGCCGCCGCCGCGCCGGTGGAAGCCGCCGCCGCGGCTCCGAAAACGATCTCTCGACATGGCAAATATGGTGGCGGTTGAGGTGGGGCCTGACGGCGACACGACGCTGTTTCTCCTCAGAATCCGACCAAAGACAAGATGGCGCCAGACCCAGAGATTGAAAAAAACAGCCTCGCGGCCGCCTTTGTCTCACCCTTTTATAGCCTCGGCGAACAGGCGCAGTCCCCGCCTTTCCGGCTTGCTTTTTTTTTTTCCTTGAGTGAGCCAATAGAAAACTTCCCCAGCCAGATTGACAGCTTTCCGAACCGATCGCGAACAAAGCAGGATGGGAAAAAGGTGGGGGGGGATAAAAGGCGGCCGGCTTCAACCCCCGGGACTCCGTCATTCGTCTATTCGCGAGCCGTAATACAGAAAAAGAGCTACTCGAAGTCCTTTCCACTTACGCTTCCACTGATTGGATCGTTTGGTTCCCAATAGGCGGGGCCGGGTGGTGAATGGGTGGGGCTCTAAACGGTGCGCATTGTCTTGCAGCGGACAGAGAGAGGGCACGTGGTCTGGGCTGCCTGAATGGCCGTTTTCCTCTCTCGACCATCTTTTCTCTCGAGCCTCCACTATATTTTACTATAGGGATGCATTCCCTTACTATGAGAGTCATTCATAAATAAATTTAGATTTATCTCTTCTGTTTTCCTCCCTGTTCCTGCTCGACCACATTATTTAAACAACAGGGAAAAGAATAAAGTATTGAGCAAAAGAAACTAAAAGCAGGAGTGGGGAAATAGAATTAGCTCCAGAGCTCACCGGTGCTGCTACCTCCTTGCAAACTACAAGCGGTTTGAATATCACTAACACAAGGGCTGCCTTTTATATATACTTGTGTGCAGTGTTGTGACGACGTGAGTAACGTAGGGAAGGGTGGAGCTTGCATTGTGGCGTCGCAATGCAATATTTTACCTTTTTTGATGTCTGGGTTTGAGACTGGAACTTTAGGGCAATAAACTTCATGATGGATGGATCCTGGGCTCCTGTCATTAAATCCGATTCAAACTTCTTTACGTCCCCATCTGGAGACGCCAAATTGTTGGTTTCTGTTGTAGCTGCTGCTCTCTTAAACTATAATTTCAAATTAACCCAGATTTGCAGTAAACACAGCCTTTTTTTTAGAAGTTGTCACATGCCAAATTGAAGACAAAACGTTTTTTTTTCCTTTAAGGAGAACTGCCAATTTTATGTTTATTTCTTGGCAGGATTAGAAATGTGTGTAGCCACTCTTGTCTCTTCCAAAATGATGCATCTTGCCAAGTTTCAAATGATCAAATTTGAGGAGGTTATGCTTATTGCTGTATTCAACAGCAACCAAGTAAATATTGATGTTCTGAGTACAATGAAAAAGGCCAAATACAAAATGCTGAAAATAGATCTGATTATGTATTTAATGTGTTTGATAGCATTCTGCCATACTCTTTATTTTCCATCCACTAGAATCTTTAATACAGGGGTGAAATTCAGCAGGTTCTGACAGGTTCTGGAGAACCGGTAGCGGAAATTTTGAGTATTACGGAGAACCAGCAAATACCACCTCTGGCTGGCCCCAGAGTGGGGAGGAAATAGGGATTTTGCAGTATCCTTTTCCTACCACGCCCACTGAGCCATGCCTACAGAACCGATATTTAAAAAATTTGAATTTCACCACTACTTTAATATAGTTTACAAAAAGGCTTCTCTGTCTTAGTCAATGGCAGTATTTCTCAAACTTGACATATTTAAGACATGTGAACTGTGAACTCCAATTCTCAGAATTCCCCAGCTGGATACAAAAAAAAAAAATCAAGGTGACAGTCATATAGTGAGGCAACTGAAGCTCTTACTGCTTTTATGTGTATCATAGAACACTTGGACCTCCTGCAATAAACATTTGAACATGAGACCCCTGTTTTACAAAGCACAATAGCAGTGTTCTTCAAACACACTAAAAGGGGGGGGGGAGCCATCTCATATCTTACACAATTTGTGCCTTTAGTTTTAGAAAATACGATTTTTTCTTGTGCTCTGAATCTGGCCATAATGTGACTTGAAGGTAAGAATCCTGAATACATCTACATTAACAGGGCATTCCTTTCAAATTCCTCATGAGGGATTTGAGAATGAATAATCATAATGTTTGTATTTTTAGGATCGTGCAGAGGTTTTCCCTCCAGTTTTTCTTTTCTTCATATTCTGCGTTTTTGTACCATCAGTTTTCTGTTTGTCTCAGTTTAATGCACTTTGAAATATTTATTTCAAAGATCCACACATACTTTTGGATACAAAGTGAAAAGCACACTGCAGCAATTCTCATCACCTATTTGGAATAGTCTTCAAACACATAATTTCTTTAATTATATATAATCTTGTATTCCTAGTTTAAATTGGCTGGATTTGTTACTTATTTTCCTTTACAGCATTTATCCCACTACCAGCAATACCTTTCTTTAAAATGGGACTGACGGGATCTCCCCTCATAGGGTCCCCACAGAAGCAGCCCCGTGAATCAGGTTGCTTTGAAAGCTGGTAACTGTCCCAACCATTCTGGGCCAAGGGAAACTTGAATCTGAGTTTCTAGTTTAGTTCTGGTCTCAGTCATTAAAAAGAACTGGATTCTGCCAGTTATAGTAGTGGCGAAAATTGTGCAAACCTTTCTGGAAAAGTGTATTTTCTAAAACTAGCTAATAACACCACTTTTTGGGAGGGTACCATAAAATTATATATCAATGGGAAGATAATTTAATAAAGAATATAATGCAATAAGTTTTATGAAGGATGTGCAATTAGAATAGCAGTTATAAAGAAGAAAAGTGAAATGAGATATAGAAAAAATATCACCATAAAAAATGAGATATAAAAAAATTATCACCATGTCAATTAATACTTAGTTGGGTAACCTTTAGCATGAATTACAGTCTTACAATGTCTTCCCATGGAGTGGACCGAGTTCTGCAGCTGTTATAATGTGAAACCAAGATCGAATGATTGCTTCTATTAACTGGGTTTTATTGCTGGGTCACTTCTGACTAACAAATTTCTTTAGTCAGCTCCATAGATTTACAATTGGGTTAAAGTCTGGGCTATTCCCAGGCCATTCCAGCAGTGGAATACGATTATCTTGAAACTCCCCCCCCACAAAAAAGTGGTATTATTAGCTATCAAACCTCAAAAATGCACTTTTCCCAAGAGGTTTCCACAATTTTGTCCACTACTATATGTGTTGTGAGTGCTGGCTGTCATTAGACAAATCAGCCATCAACAGGCACATAGAGATAAACAACTACTATATACCATTCAAAAGAGATAATCCAAAAGCTAAAAGGGAAACAAAAAAATCCATAATTTCTCCTCCACCAGCAATCAACCCCCATGTGAGTAGAAATTAATACCAATTAACACTACATCAACAATCAAGTAAACAACACCCTGATCAAGGCAAGCCACATGTATATAAACAGAGCAAATCCCTTATAGCAGTGATGATGTTACCTAGGCAGGTAATCAAAAGTCTATACGAAAACAAACAATCTCAGGGAGTAGGAAGGACTTTGCAGTTCTGGTGACAATGACCACTTTCTACAAGAGGAAAAGGTTGCTATTTCCTCAATACTATTTGAGGAAATAGTATACTCAATACTATTTAGTGTTGTGTACTCCATGAGCTCCTCCTAGGAGCTGTTGACCATGCCAGTTACTGCCAGCTGTCCTTCCCTTATTGAATTATATGGGAACTAGGCAGCAGTGAAATTCAAAAATTTTCCCTACTGGTTCTGTGGGTGTGGCTTGGTGGTCATGTGATTGGGCAGGCAACAAGCAGGAGCCTCACAGAGTCACGGAGAGCTCAGAAAACCAACTGTCACTCTTTCCCAAAAAAATAACATAAAAGCTATATAACTGACTCACCCACAATGCTAAAGCAGCTGGACTTCACATACACACAAAAGTTCCTTTTTTTTTATTAATTTTTTTTAATTTTTAATTTAAAACAAGTACATCTTTCTTTACATGCTATAGAAAGTGTGTCAGTCGGTCACAAATAAACTTTTGTGCATCTCCTCCACAGTCAACAAACATAACTCATGTTAACTCGAGCATTTTAACTCAAATATTCATACATATCACCATCATCATATATCCATTTTCATTTGACTGTAATTATTATTTAAAGATATTAATAAAAAGTTCCGACGATCAATCGTGAGGCACAGCTGGTTGTCACAGCTGATCGTCGAAACCTTTTTTAAAACTTTTTTTTAGCATTTTGCCTGAACTGGTAGTAAAAAAAATGCTTTTAAAAGGTTTTTTAAAAAGTTCCAACGATCAGCTGTGGGACAATTAGCTGTGGATGTCAGAACGTTTTGTTTTACTTTTTAAAGCCTTTTTTTTACTACTGGTTTGGGTGAACCGGCAGGAGCCAGTAGCATTTCACCCCTGGAACTAGATCCAAAATGACTCAAGTTTTCCCTGTTCCTCTGTTTTTGCCAGAGTTAAGGCGTGTACATAGCAGAGGGGTATAAAGAAAATCAGGAGGTACACTGCCTGATTCTCTTTGCAGACAATCCATTGTGCTAAGACTCTATCTTAGAGGAATTCTGGGAGTTGAAGTCCACAAGTCTTAAAGTTCCCAAGTTTGGACAACCTTGTCTTAGTGTGAATCTAGCATTTTTTGGGGGGAAATTACTATGTCAGCATTCAGAAATAGCTTAAGTGGTAGGTCACTATTAAAGAGAAGTATTGTGCAAGTCACTCCAACAGTTTGAATGGTACCCTGCCAGGTACTCAAGCCCACCTGACCTCACTCTAAGGAAGTAGTTGTTGGTTGCTTTTTCTCCTGGCCCACAAAATTGGTTGAAAGAGGAAACGTAGCCAAGAAGAATCTACAAAACCCTGCCCCTTAAATTGTCCTGTATTCGAACTGTAATGTCAGCACCAATCACAAGCTTGTGCGATGTCTGTTGACCTACTTTTCTGGCATTTCAAGGTCAGGAGCAATGCACACTGACACAAACAAGAGGAAGAATCTTACGATTCCACTTTTTAGCTCCAGAGCAAATCGTTCCATCAAAATCTGAACTGGAGGACTGTGGTAGAATACAAGCTTTGTACACAAAAGGCTAAGATTGATATCCCCTCATGAGAATGGTATAGACTCTGGCCTGCAATGCAGTAAAACCACTGCCAGACATTGCTGACAATGCAAAAATACACACATCAATGATTCTCGCAGTACAACAGAAGATTCTATACTCCTCGTCATTACAAAAATCACCACATTCTTGATTGAGTAATTAAACACCCATAGGGGAGAACTAAGCAATAAAATAAACCCATGCAAAATAGGTCCAACATTATGTATCCATAGAAGTCTTATGGATTGGACCGTATTTTTCATAACTCCCAACAAATATTCCAACCAGCTAACATGAGATGGTCCAGATCTGCAGCAAGAAGGAAGGCGTGCCTGGGTCGCATTTTGAATGCAGGCTATTTAGGGTTTATTTTTCTTAGCTTTTGTGGAATATTTGACTGAAACAAATCTTGGCACAGAATGAACACACATTCTAAGTCCAATAGCATCCGTTCAATTATCTAGGTATGTGACGCTCACGCTGCAAAACTCCAGATTGCATTAGATGGAAGCAAACAGTGTGTAATTCTTTGCTGCCTCCTAGAGTTGATCCAGATGTTTGCATCACAGATCAGATAAACTTAAATTACTTGCAGATTTGCATTTGTGTTTATACTACAGTGAATGTTGTTTACCCTAAAATTAGTTAATTATGGTGATTGCCCATGATAAAGAAGGAACTTCCGAAAGCAGTTCTATATTTATTTGTATCTTTGCTTTCGTAAGCGACTGTATACTCTCCAAGTTGTGGTATTCCGCAGGTTCTGACCAGTTCTGAAGAACCAGTAGTGGGAATTTTGAGTAGTTCGGAGAACCAGTAAATACCATCTCTGATTGGCCCATCGAGTCTCTGCCTCCCGAGTCCCAGCTGATGGGAAGGAAATGGGGATTTTGCAGTAAACTTCCACTGGAGTGGGGAGGGAGTGGATATTTTACAGTATCCTTCCCTGCCACGCCCACCAAGCCACGCCTACAGAACCGGTAGTAAAAAAATTGAATCCCACCACTGCTCGAAGACCATCCAAGGTGGTCAACTCCATGAACTTAAGAAGAAGGAAAAAAGACACTAAATAAAAATAGATCGTTTCTGAGCTTTCTTGAGAGAAGGTGCAAATTAATTGAATTCACAGATTCCCAGGACTGAAACAATGCCGAAAAGAGTCTGGTTCATTTATTAACTAAATAAAACTAAATTTCACACGCAGAAACTTTATTTTACAATTTTGTAAAACTGGAAATCTATAAGGAAAAAAACCTGAAATAACTTCCACTGTGGGACCATGACTGCTTATGATTTTGAAGACAACTCCAGGCTGAACAAGGAGGACCCCTGAAAGGTAGATGGGGTGATCATAAACATCTGTGGGGATCTTTGGCCTGGCTAAGCTGGAAAGAAATGCCTGTTTGCAGCACTAATTTCTGGGAAGAGTGCTATGTGCCCTCGGATGATTGGAAGATAAGCCTGAAGGCTGTGCTTCCACAAAATGGACGTCCCTTTCAAAGTTGCCTTTCCCAGCAGCCATAAGCTTTTCAACCACTAGGTGTCTCAAAGCACAACCGCAGGAAGTGATGATGAAATACTGTAGGCTTTGCGGAGGCCCCAATTTGGAACAGTTTCTTGTATCTGCATCAAGCATCCTTTCACCAGTCCTCTTAGCTGGTTCCCACAGGTCCAGCTGACCTGCAAAAGGCTTTTTAAGCCTTTGTCTAGACAAACAGAAATCAGAAACCAGGAGAGAGAGAAAAAAACCAAAGAGATACACTGGGTGCCTGAGATGCTCGTTTTATTTGTTTGCTTTTAAAATGGGCCCATGATGTCTCTTCTGCATGATGTCTATCATCACATTGCAGAAGATGATATCACTTCTGCGGTCTAGGTCTGCCTAGCCCCACCAAGCTGCCGTCTTGCACTAAAGGAGTCCTAGGAAGCTTTCCGTAGGGAGGCAGTGGCTCAGTGGTTAAGACACTGAGCTTGTCGATCAGAAAGATTGGCAGTTCAGCAGTTCGAATCCCTAATGCCACGTAATGGAGTGAGCTCCCGTTACCTGTCCCAGCTTCGGCCAACCTAGCAGTTCATAAGCATTTAAATATGCAAGTAGAAAAATAGGAACCATTTCTTTGGTGAGAAGGTAACCGTGCACCTTCAGCGTTTAGTCATGCCGACCACATGACCACGGAGACGTCTTCAGACAGAGCTAGCGCTTCAGCTTTGAAATGGAGATGAGCACCCTCCCCTAGAGTCAGGAACGACTGGCACATATGTGCGAGGGGAACCTTTACCTTTAGACAGCTTTCCACAGTCCTCTGTAAATGTTGAGATGGCAACCAAGCCCTTGAGAGGTGAAACATGAAGGATGGACTTGAGATGACTGGTGGAAGAGCAGCAGGGAAGGGGAAGGATTTCTGGCTATCTCTTCAGGGATCTCAAGCCAGAGAATTAAGCCAACGTCTGAGCCAAAATATAATTAGGAGTCAAATGTTGGAACGCTGGTCATTCTTTCATCCCAACCAAAAAGACAAATGATATAGAAAGGTTATTTTAGATAATGGTTGTCTCTTACCCATGCTTAATCTGATGGAATTAACCCAAATACTTACACTTGGATAGCACATGAAACCCTGAAGAAAGCAAAGGGAAAGTGGACATCAGACACATTATGACAAGATTCATGTCATGAGCATAATTAGGCCACAATGCATGTCATGTCATCAGACTCCTGCCCAATATCTATGCTGTCTGGGTCCATATGCTAAATTACAGCGTGGATAGATGAAAGATGTATAGGGTGCCTATGGAACTGTTTGATAACTATCATATCTCAAGACTTAAAATGGACACCTAATATCAAAAACATCATCAAAAAGCACAACAAAGAATGTTCTTTCTGCGCCAACTCAGGAAGCTCAAACTGCCCAAGGACTGCTGATTCAGTTCTACAGAGGAATTATTGAGTCTGTCATCTGCACCTCTATAACTGTCTGGTTTGGCTCTGCAACCAAACAAAACAAACAAAGACTTCAACAGATAATTAGAACTGCATTAAAACAATGGCTACCAATCTGCCTTCCATTGAGGACCTGTACACTGCAGGAGTCAAAGAGAGGGCTGTGAAAATATTTACAGCCCCCTAGCATCCTGGATGTGTAAATTGTTTCTACTTCTACCCTCAAAAGATGCTATAGGGCACTGCACACCAGAACAACGTCACAAGGATAGTTTTTCCCTGAATGCCATCACTCTGCTTAACAACTAATTCCCACAGCACTGTCAATAATTTATCAAGAATGTATTACTATTATTCTTCACTTCCTTCCTAGTATTTATTTCTCTCCATTTATGACTATAACCATGTTGCTTGTATCTTTCAATTTATATTATTTCATTTGTTTTCTAGTACGATTTGATAGCTTATTAGTATCCTTGACTATCACTAAGTGTTGTATCTTTTTATTCTTGATGAATGTATATTTATTCTCCTTATGTACACTGAGATCATATGCACCAAAGACACATTCCTTGTGTGTGCAATCACACTTGGCCAATAAATAATTATATTCTATTCTTGGTGATGCCACTGGACTCTTCTCTATCAGTAGAGACTGCCTTACTAGCTTCAGTTGATGCATCCGTGATATTCTCCTCTAGACGAGGCAACCCTCCTACAGTTGTCCTTGACTTGGAAAAAACAGATGGTGCAGTATGAAGCAGCTAAGCTCGTGAGTGGGATGACTAAGTATGAGCATATTATCTACTGCTAAATCAACCACAACCTCAGGGCTAATTTTACAATCCCTCTTGCATGGACTTTCTCCTCGGTGTTGCTTACCCTCTTTGCTTAAAAACTCTGCCCTACAGTTTGTAATCAACAATAGTTTGGCTCCACTAATATATTGAGACACAAACAAATCAACACAAGCAAATCATATTGGAGTTTACTGTCATCCATGCCAGGAGACTGCCTTCCTTGCAGCCTGGACTGGAAGCAGTTAATCCCAGAAAGAAGACTGTCAGGACCCTGATTAATAATATTTATCGGGCAAGAATTCTAGAAAGTAGCCTGATTTCATACAGGATAGGCAATTTAGGGTAGCAAATTCTTGTCCATTTTCTTCTTATGCAGAGNAAAAGTTGGATAATGGGGGAAGCATGGGTAAAAGGAAGACAGATTAGAGGTTATGTGTATGGGCAAAAAGGGTGCTTGGTACCAAGAAAATGGGGGGGGGGGTGTTAAAGGGTTATTTGCATTCAGATTTATCCTTGTGAGTTAACATCTTGGTAATGGTGGAGCCAAAAGGCATTGGTAAGTTAAACAGTTAAAAGACATGCTAAAAGTCTTGGGTATCTACCTCTGCAACCCTCTTGGGAGGATACTGCTAGATTACAGTATTTCTTAAAAGAGTAAAGTGATGACTTGTATTGATTTTCATTATTTCTCCTTTTTGGCCCTTGACTGGAGCCTTCAAAAGAGGCCTTTGTGATATTCAGCCTAGTAAACCTCTTTGAATTTGTGACTTGCCAAATACTGGATAACATCAGGTTTTTTCGGCTAAATGGACAGGTGGATTCAGCTTGGTGAGCGTGACATTAATGGGATGTATTTCTATGGGAATTTCATGTAATCTTGGTGTTGGCTCTATTTCATATTACTGGAATGTAATAATGAGTAATGTTTCCGACTTGTAGTCTAAACTGTCTGATCATTTCCTTTTTAAATTAGCATGTTGGAATTATTGTCACACATATGTGCACTTGCACTTCATTGTGACATTCTTTAATCAGTCTAAGATTAATATGCAGGGTAAACTATGTAAAAAGGTTTTATCAGTGTGCTCAGATTATAGTCCCTAGTTAGAAAAAAGAAATTAAACCACAAATCTTATCTTTTTAAAAAATGGATAAAATTACAATGAATATCAAAATCCTGCTATTGGCAATGAAATTTTGATTCTTTTGGCAAATGAAGTTCTTCAGTTACAGAGAAGGAAACTAGTATGTAATTGAGCAATCTATTTTAAACTTTCTCTCCTGCTGGTCAAACTACATGCCTTTTCCACTAGAATTTTGCTGCAGTCCCACCTATGTTTTGTGATGTCATAGCATGGAAGAGATGGAGTTTGCTGTATCAAATAGAAGGTATGCCTGCTGATGTGCTTGTGTTTGGGATGAAGGTGAAAATTCTGGCTATGTGTGTGAGCTGCTTACAATTTTAGCACAAGTTTTAATTGATATTTCCTATCAATAACATTTGCTTTGGCTTGGATCTTTTAAAAGATATAACCATTTTAAGTTCATGGAAAGGGGCTTTGGTTTTTCTCCCTAAAAAATTAACTCCTGATAATTGGGGGATTCGTGAAATATGTAAAGAGGCTGCAAATAGTATTAATTAGATGAAGAATTACAGACAATTGTCTCTTTTATATGAATGGAAAGGCAACTTGAAATCTATGCCAATATTTTCTGTCACTAACAAGTTGGATGACATCTCTTATAATTAATGCAGAATTTGTAAAAATAGACTTTTATTAGATGCCCAGATACCACATGCATTTAATAGTTTATTCTTGTCAAGGAAAAATATATTTCATTTGATTAGCTGTCGAGATAATAATGTAACTGCATTTTAATTCAAGTAGCTAATAAAGATAAAATTTCTTGTACTTATTACAGATTTTATTTTAGCCCTGAGTAATGTAGTCAAACTTAGATTTGAGTAGCTGGGCGAGTAAATGTCTCATTGTGATTCTAAATTATCCTAAAATGATACATGCTTAGAACTTTTACACTAGTGTCAAATGAATTTGTTCATTTCATAGTTTATTTTTTCTGTTATAAATGAAGTTTTACATATTTCATTCCTTGCTGTAGCTTTTCTAGAGAAATAAGGAAATAATCTTCATTGAAAAATAAAACTTTAAAGTGCTGAGAATTACTATTCCACTATAATAATATAGACATTACCCATCAAACTGTCTTTCTATCAGTGAAATGTGATTTCTGGAAAGTTTTGAATCAAAGTTTCCCTAAATGAATGAGAATCTATTATAGCACTTTTTTTTAAAGGGCACTGGCTAGAAACCAGGAGACTGTGACCCAAAGGTGCTTTTTCAAGAGGCAACTGGGCTTTCTGTTTTTTCTTTGAAGAGGTTTCGCTTCTCATCCAAGAAGCTTCTTCAGCTCTTGGATGAGAAGCAAAACGTCTTCGAAGAAAAACCAGAAAGTCTGGTTGCCTCTTGAAAAAGCACCTTTGGGTCAGCCATGACCTAGATGACTGAGAATCTCCATAGACAGGAGACTGGGAGTTCTAGACCTGTTTTAGGCATGAAAACCAGCTGCATGATTTTAAGCAAGTCCCTTTCTCTCAGTGCATAATGTCTGGCTTGGGTGATGGGCAATAAGCGGGTCCATCAATTCCTGCCCTGACCAATGGATCGATATTCAACTGTTCCAAAACTAAAAAAAGAAAGTGTTGTAGGAAAAACTCTAGGATGAAAAAAAAATCCAACATAATAATGTTAAATAACTATTAAGCAACATGTTCAGTATTATAATTGGTGAATGGAGTCATTAGTTTAATAAAGTACATATTATTTGAATGACAACAGCTTTTATTAAGTAAGCCAACATAAAAACAATTTACATGAGCTTGTTTGGACAAATCATAATTTTACCCATGAAAAAGGCAAACTGTAGTCATGCCAGAGTACAAAGCTTAATCATGTAACACTATCTTTTAAAATGTATTCTTTGGACATGAAAGATATTATTATATATTATTACCACTAATTGCCAAAGAAGTTCATTAGATAGATATNCCACATTTTTCTCTGGCTAGGAGGCAGCACAAGGACATGACTCAGTTGAACAATAAGGCGCCTGTGTTTGAGAGAGAGAGAGAGAGAGAAAGAAAGAAAGAAAAAAATATATGCGCCCATCTATTTATAATCTAGGTCTCAGAGATGGGAAGAATCCATGCGAATGACAAGGCCAGCTCCCTGTGAGGTTTTTGTCTCTAGAGCTGATGTGACTTCTCTTGTCAGGGACTATTCCCATGATGGGAAGGCGGAAGGAAAGCAAACCTCCCCTCTGCAACTGAAGAGCCTGTATTCTGCTCTTTCCTCATTCAGCCCCCTCCCCAGAGATTCTCTTTTCCAGCCAGGCGATTGCAATCCTTCTACTCAAATCTGCCATATTGAACCAACAAAGAGACACAAGCCAAGTGGCCTCTACAAAGGATGCAACTTTTCCTGTTGTTGTTTTTTAAATATATATTTTTATTCATCTTATAATAATACATGGACAAACTCAAGGTAAATTGCTCCAAACGCAATTGCAGAAAATGTGACTTCAGCCACAGAGGGGTCAATGCCTGGAATGCTCTACCTGATTCCTTGTTACATCCTCAAACCCCCATAGCTTCAACCTTCAACTGGCTACCCTGGACCTCACCCCTTTCCTAAGAGGTCCGTAAAGAGGGCGTGCATAAGTGCACCAGAGTGCCTTCCCTCCCTATCCTACTGTCCTCATTTATTTGTATTCATTTCCTTTGTTCATGTCCATGTTCATACTTATACCTGCTATCTCCGTGATGGCGAACCTATGGCACGCGTGCCACAGGTGGCACGCAGAGTCCTCTCTGTAGGTACACAAACCATCGCCAGCTGCTTTTAATGGGCATTGGAGCACCAGAAAATGGCCCAAAAAACAGATAATTGTTCGGGCTGTTTTTGGGCTGTTTTCCAGGCTGTTTTCACGCCATTTTTCATGCCATTTTCAGGTTGTTTTCAGGCCATTTTTCATGCCATTTTCAGGTTGTTTTCAGGCCATTTTCAGGTTGTTTTCAGGCCATTTTTCAGGTTGTTTTCAGTCCATTTTCAGGCCAAAAATAGCCCAAAATCTGGCCTGAAAATGGTCCAAAACCAGACCCAAAATGACTCCCAAAATGGCATGAAAATGGTCTCCAAAATAACCAAAAAACAGGCATGTGTGCACCAGCCAGCTGGTCTTTGGGTTTCCGGTGCTCTGGTGCATGCAATCACGCACATGCCCACACATTCCAGTTTGGGCCCCGGTGCCAAAAAGGTTCACCATCAGTGTTCTATCTTGTACATGTTTGACAAACTAATAAATAAATAAATTTTGCTAGAATGGATGATTTCTTCCTTCCACTCGCTCAACCTTCGTGGCATTCATTTTATACACAGCAATGACAACTCCATTTGACATTTAAGGAGGGGGGGAAATCCTTGCAGGTAACATCTGTATTGGGGCAACTAAACTTTGTATGAAACCAGTTTATGGAGTTTGCAACCCATGTCCTCCCAAAACGGAAGGAAAAATGCGGTTGCTATTCCCACAGTGTGCCCGCTTATTCCTTAAATCAATTTAGATAGCTTGAAGACAATTCTTATGGGGCAAGGGGTCACATCAAATTTGCAAATGGGGGTCTTACTAAGAAGGCAGGAGGGTTAACTGAGGGACAAGAGTTTTGCAGGGAAGAGGAAACAGCCAAACATTTTTATTTTTGCCATCATGAGAAATAACTCCATATACTGTACTTTCAAGAGACAAGACAAGGTGCTTTATTAGAGCGCTAGAACAGCTCAAAAACAAAAGGAAACCAAGTGAGTCAAGAAGTAAAAACCACAGTAAAACCCAGTAGTGCAGTTGTAAAACTAGTAGGATAAAGGTGTGAAGTATCCCACAATTGGAGCAAATCTTAGCCACATTTAAAAAAAAAAAAGATCACATTGATGGGATCCTGGCACTGTACATAAAATTAATAGAATAGAATTCTTTATTGGCCAAGTGAGATTGGACACACAAGGAATTTGTCCTTGGGGCATATGATGTCAGTGTACATAAGGAGAATAAAAATACATTCATCAAGAATAAAAAGATACAATACTTAGTGATAGTCAAGGTTACTAATAAGCTAACAAATCATACTAGGAAACAAATAAAAACAATATAAATTGAAAGATACAAGCAACATGGTTATATTCATAAGTGGGGAGAGATAGATACTAAGAAGGAAGAGAATAATAATACATTCTTGGTAAATTATTGACAGTGTTGTGGTAATCTGGTAATCCAGGTGATCTGGAAATTTTAATAGATGAAGTTTAATTTCCTGTGTTTCAGGAATTCCTTCACCACAGGTGCATTTTTTTTTTGTTCAAAGTGGATATCCATCATTTTCTTGCAGGAACAGCTGTTGGGGGGTATTAAATCTGGTTGGGGCTCTTCTGCATTTAGAAGCCCTTATTCTAGCCATCTTAGAAAAAGATGAATTCCTGGATATGGCAACCAGGTCTGACTGGGCTCCCAAATCTTTGGTGTGCTATTTAAGGGTGGTTTGTGCACATTCATAACTCATCATTAGGATGGCATTAAGTGGGAACCCATAGCACTTCAGTTTCTCATGCAGTGCCGTAGCTCAAGCTGAAATTAAGTCATCATTTAAAATCAGAGGGGTTAAGCCGAGGTGATGGTGGTTAAATAATTTTAACCAATAAGAGAAGTTACATGTCCCAATTCAGTTTTGGCCACAGCAGCATCATGACATTGGGGCTCAAAGTATCTTCCTTAAAAGGTAGATAGTGCTTTGTCTAAAGCAGGGATGAGCAACTACAACGACTTTACAACTGGCTCAGGAAGTCTCAGAGCTGAACTCCACAGATTGTAAAGTTGCCATAGTTGTTCATCTCTATTCTAAATGGTTTTATCAATTTTCTTAAATAAACTTATTTTGTGCAATTAAGACACACAGATCTCTTGGACAGTGAAAAGAGGCAAGAAATCATCACACCCATTAAATTTAAATGTTTTATAAGATAAAGCTGGATTTAAATTTGATTACTTATTCTAGTTGACAGAAGTCAACTAAAGAGAAATTGGGTGTGATCAGCTACTGGCATATGAGAACAGAATTTAAAGTAATGTTCATTTCAAATAATTTATTTTGTTCCCTAAGCAACTCATTTTTAATTTCCATTTTATAAATTCAGATAAGAAATCATAATTATTCATAACTGAAACAACTGAATGGGTTTAGGCTAAGACATAATGTGGCTGGTTTGGTTCTGGGTTAGAAAATCATGTTCCTCCTAGACATTGTGTTTTTCAGATATTAA